AACACATTTCATTACACCAAATACACAAAATAATGTTCTTTTTAGCAGCATCATATGACCCCTTTAACTTGATCAGAGCTGTACTCAACAAGGATTATTGTTATTTTATTTGCCGAGAGGAAAATATCAGAAAGGAGTTAAGATGAGAGAAGAGCTGCAAACCACAAGTTGAACAAAATAAAAACGATCGTGCAAAAATATGCACTACAACACAGTTCCTGCTCAATGTCTTCATCCTGTTTGTGTCAGTGAAAGAGCTGAATTTTCCCTGATGTTCATATAGCTACTGCAAAGACGTCTCAATGACTGATATCCACACCAGGTTTACTGTAGGCCTATGGCCTGCAGTAGCCACTCACTGTAGAACACAAGATCCAGGGGGCGTGATTGGATCCACATCTAGGGGGTGGAGATTGGTAGGTTTAGGGATCATGCGGCTTTCTACCATCTTGAGCACATAAAGCGAAAACGTTACTAACGTTATTCCTCGAAATGGGCGTTGTTTAAGCGTGTTTACTTTAATATCTACTTCGACTTTTTTATCGTTTGAGAAAAACGGAGCGAAATCGTCATTGTATGTTTTTGGATTTAATCAATCAAACAATCGCCTCTACTAAATCATGAGGAGTTTGATCCGATTTTGTGAATATGGTTCATAAATCTTGTTTCTTCTGTCTGTGGATTTGGTTCTTACGTGGTAAGTATTTCCCCCTCATTCTATTATATGGTGTTTGACTCCAAAATTAGCCGTTTTTATCTTTTAACATTATTTAGCATTCTTTATTTTGGCTTTTTTAATATTAGTAAGAGTGGAGGAAATGCGAAATAGGCTAGTGGTAAACTGAGCTTCCAACTCGCAAAAAGCAGTCAGCAGAAATAGACATATTTTTTTTTTTTTTTCAACTGCACTTTTTTTTTTTATTGCAGTAAACAACAAGGATTACAGTACGTACAAAACAAACAGTAAAAAACAGTACGTACAAAACATACAAAATACCAATCAATAATAAACTACTTGAGGATTAATAGATAAAACATCACAGAAAAAAACAATGTAATATAAAAATTCTTAAGAAAAGGACAGAAGAAAAAAAAAAAGGCACACAAATAGAAATACAAGTGTATTAGGGAAAATCTTAAACATGGCACAAATTCTAGATGTTTTTATAGCTTTCTTGTTAACAGACGTTGAAATTGTATTTAAATACAACTTCAGTTCTTGCCTGAAGATAGCAGAAATAGACATGCTATATCGACATGTTCAGTTCTGGAGTTCAACATCTGGAAAACATCCTGCCTGAGACAATAAACAATGGACTGCAATTCAGTTCATGAAGAGGGTGTCTTATTTATTTATTTTTTTTTTTGTGGTATATCATTACGTATTATGGCACGTATTTGTTTGAACAAGCGTTTTTTGTGGAATTGCTCATTTTGACATGCATTTTTCTCTAAACTTGTTTAAAACAAACAAACCTGAATAAAAAATGTTTGTTGTGTTTCAGGTGTGCTTTGCGATACAGATGCAGTGAAATCAGTATCAGTGATGAAGGGAGGTTCTGTCACTCTAAACACTGATGATAAAGTAAAGAAAGATGATCAGATACTGTGGACGTTTAAAGCTGACAATCCAGACACTGTTATAGCTGAAATCAACAGACAGAACATCTATATAGATGCCACTAATACAACATTTGAGAAAAGACTCCAGATAGACAGTCAAACTGGATCTCTGACCATCAGAAACATCAGAACTGAACACTCTGGACTTTATAAACTACAGATCATCAGAAACAGAGTAATCTCACACAAGAGTTTCACAGTTGCTGTTTATGGTGAGTAAGATTAAATGTCTAGTCAAAAACTAAGGTGGTGTTAATATCATTTTTTAATTTTTTATTTTTTTTACTGTAAATTAAAAAACAGAAATAATAGTAGAGTCAAATTAAAGTTGTCATGTTGTTTGTTTCATTTTTAGAGTAACATTTTAATTTTACATTCTTTCTCTAACATTTCTAGCTCCTGTTCCCATTCCTGTCATCAGCAGAAACACTTCAAACTGTTCTTCATCATCATCATCATCACAGCAGAATTGTTCATTGGTGTGTTCAGTGGTGAATGTGAGTCATGTGACTCTCTCCTGGTACAAAGGAAACAGTTTATTGTCCAGCATCAGTGTGTCTGATCTCAGCATCAGTCTCTCTCTACCTCTGGAGGTGGAATATCAGGATAACAACACCTACAGCTGTGTGCTCAACAATCCCATCAGCAACCAGACTCAACATCTGGACATCAGTGGACTCTGTCACAGATGTAAAGGTATGTCAGCTGTGATATTTATGACTGTTATTTGCTGAGCTGCTCAGTAGTTTTTGTTGTTAATGATGTTAATGATTGTCAGTACTGCAGGGTAACAACTGTTGTGCTGGTTTACTTTTATGATCTTTAAACTAAAGATTGTGTTTAACTGTGTAACCTCAAGTGTCGTTTCATGTAGTTTAACTGTCTTTGTCACTTAAGCATTAGCAGATTTGAGTTTGTTTTGTATTTTGTCTTTTCTGTTATCACATCAAATGTCTTCAGTTTACACTGTCTGTGACTTCTCGGTGGTTTTTATAGAGATCAACTGCATTCTACAATGTCTTGACTGAAGTTGCAGGATTCATTTAAATGTATTTCTCATTACAGATGTCCTTCAGAAGTCACATCTTATTCCACTGATATCAGCTGGCTTATTAATACTGGTCTTGGCTGTAGTTGTAGGGTTGGTATACTTTCACCGCTGGAACTGCAAACAAGCAATACCAGAGGGCAAGTATTACCTTTTTCATTCAATGATATTAACCTTTCTGGGTCAAAATCATGTTTTTTTTCTTTTCTGAAAAAGTGCTACAATATTAGTTTTTAAAATACCATTTCAGATGTATAAAGTGCTTTTAAAGTTTGAAAATGTGATTATTATTATTATTATTATTATTAAAACAGTTCAGACTTGTGAGGAAGAGGTACTTTATGCCGAAACAACATTTTGTGCACGCAGTATTCACAGTACGGTAAGACACTGTATTGCAGTGTGCAGTGACTCTGTCTGCAGAAACCACAGATGCTGAGAGAAAATCTGTTTGCGCTTGCACACGTGATGAAGCAGAAAATGTGCCATCCTGTGCTGCTGTCACTGTTTGTCCTTATTTGTCTGTGCATAGTGTGGCCTTTCAAGCAGTTTAAACCACACTATTTCGCTCAGTTTGTTTTTTGTTTTTTTGCTTAGGCTTCAGTTGTTCATGGTACCGTCCCTAAGGTACAGTGCCATATCAGACAACTTAAGAAACGTACACATTATACCAAAAATTTGCTCTCATTTCGTAGAGTCAGTACGGTTTACTAAATACTGTGATTATGCTTCTGAAAAGCCACAGGCATCTGTAACACAGTTACAGTCAGTGATGAATAGTGTAAGTCATCAAATCACCAAAGCATTTATTATCAATCCTGATGATTCAGTGGTGAGTCAAATGCAGGAAAGCAGTGCCGGAACTGCTAGGTGACTTTTTGCAGCCATAGACTCCATAGACAAAAATTAAAGTGTTTTGAAAACATCCAAAAAAGCCCCAAAATATCCTTCAAAAGTGATACTCTGATGTAGGTATTCTCTTTTTGGTAGAAATTGTGTGTACAACTTGCCAGTATTTAAGAAAGTTATTTAAAACGATCAAATAAAACATCATGCTTTTGCTATCATGCCCTGTGCTTGCAATTGTCTCTGTATTCAACCGCTGACCATAAGCCAATTTATAGTGTTTAGTCAGGAAGGATTACAGAACATTACCAGACTGTTGGTATACATGTATACACACAAACACTATTTATAAACATACACACACTTTTTTCATTGTTTTACATGTTTTAATTCCTGATATTCGTGTTTTTTTTTCTTTCAGAAACCAGATGAAGAGCACCACATCATATACTCGAGTGTTAATGCAAAATGACATGATCAGTGGTATTAGCAATTTTATTTATTTTTTGCAACTAATATGAAACCGGCATGTAAAAGTCATTTTCAAGTGTTAACTTTAGGGTCAGTCATCTCAAAGTGCATCTCTTAAGAGTGCATAAGGACACATTTTCAGAGAGTGATGAATGGTTCACAGTTATGACTGTAAGTGATTGAAAAAACCTAGTGTTTCAATGTCATCAGTATTTGATCACTATTTCAGTATCAGCATTTTCTCTAGCTCACACTGACATTCCATGCCATAGAATGCTAGCAGATACATTAACATCATATATTTGTATTACTCATTTTTCTGGAATACTTGATTTTGATTGCTCAGTTGTTATTGAGCAGTCAAACATTTCTGAGTAATCTCCACTCATGTGGGTAACTCAGTATAACTGACCATTTATCCGGAAAATCGAATAGATATGTTTTAATGGATTATACCTAGTGTTACATTAGGCCTTCAGTGTTTGGCGTCGGTTCCTTTGATAAAAATAACTTTGGCTTGCCAACATGCTGTTACTTGTTCTGTGGGTAGTTGTTTACCTGTTCGGCAAGGCATGTTCATTCAAGCTCAGCTCTGTTGCTGGAATCTTTCTCTTATACTCTGTTAAAACATTCACAGTACACTGTAAAAAAAATTCCGTAAAATTTACGGTAAAAAACCGGCAGCTGTGGTTGCCAGAATTTTACCGTAAAAAATACAGTAGCAACATTTTAGGTTTTATGGTTTTAACTTAAATTTACAGTTAAATACCGTAATTTCATTAACTGATATAATGTTAATATACCAACCTACTGAAGTACTGAAATCTGTTTTGTACCTTTGTATTACTGATAACCACCAAATGCAGGTGCTGATGAGAAAGTCACATTATGAACCAAAGCCCATCACAAGCAGCTTTTAAATAATAACATATATAGAAGGTGCACAGTGTCATTTACACAAACACTAAACACCATCATGGTAACACACATGAAACTGAAATAATGCAATAAACATTCATTTAACAACATTAGGTGTAACACACAACCCTAATATACAAAACTGATAAGAAAAAACTAAGAAGAAACATAGTTATTTCAACAAAAAAACATCAAATTTGAAATGTAACGCAGGGAATTCTGGGAATGTCAATTTACGGTTATTCGCTGTAAATTATACGGTATGTTTCACTTCCAAAAACGGTATACTACCGTAAAATTTATGTCCAATACAGTTTTTCACCGTATATAGTAGGGGAATTTACCATTAACCATTTAACAGGTTTTTACTGTAGCATTTGTACAGTCTTTTACCATTAAATTCACGGTCATATTTTACAGTGTAGACACTTGAGTCTAAACAAACGCCTTAGATATTTAACATTTAAAAATGTACTAACTCTGGTATCATTTTTTTTTATTGGCATACAAAAGACATTTTTTATTAATTTTGTATACATTTTCTATAATTTTTGGATCAGTTCTTAACACTTCTGACATGCATTATGCATTTTTTATACTGCATTTATACTATTTTGTATTATTGTACCCGTACTTCTAAGGAGATGAAATTCAGTGTAAGATTCATATGAACAGTTTGAATTTGTCTACACATTCTGATAAAATGTTCTGTGTTCTTGTGGTGCCATCAGGATTATTTTCTTTCCTGCAGCTCCAGAATGATTAGTTAGGTGACTTTTACATCATTGTGATTGGCTCACAGGCTGTTCACAGGAGGCCTCCAGGAAGGCCACATCTAGTTTGACTGCTTCTGCGTTTGAGATGAATGGGAATTTTAATGGTTAACTGTCTTCAGTTATTATATAGACTTCCTTTTTTCAAACAGATTAGATCCTGAATGTATGGCGCCCATTTTAACCCAACCCTAACCGACCAGCTGTTACTTGTCTGCTGTTAGTTGTTCAGCTTGTCAGACTGGACATGTTTGTGCACCTAATACTGGAAAATTTCCACTGTATTTTACATTTTAGCTCTGCTCATCAGAAAAGTGTACTAATACTCAGTGTTTTCTGTAATGTGTCCCCTACTGATTTTGACATACAAATACTGTATTACTCTCACCATTTAAACACGATTCAGAAACAAAGTAATGCAGCTGCATTATAACAAACAAAACAAATTTTAGTCAGTTTAATGTAATGACATATCAAATAAAATATACAGTCTTAGTACTGTATATATGAAGTGCCCACGATAACAATATCGTGCATATTCGTTACCGTGATATATCGCATTACCGAATACAGGCACAAGTCTACTCACAGGTAAAGCAGGATTACAATGTAAACAAAACCTTTGTTATCTTTTTCTACATTCATGTATTAGACTCTAAAACAGCACTGACCATGTGTTTATTAAATCAGTGTTGCTCCAATAAAAATAATTTTGCCATCACAAAAAGTAGGCCTATCTATAAAGAGTCTTTTACTGTTTACTGACGTCTTCAGTCCAAACAGATAAAGTTTGTCATGTTTTAAAGAAAGATGTCATTGTGGACTTCCACAGTATTTATTTGACTAATACATAAAAGAACCTTGCCTCTGTGCTTGAGCTGTAAAACGTGGTGAATTCATGCCAGTGACTAGAGGGAGCCAGAGCTTTAAGCTTTGAGCAATGTGCATACTCGAAGCCATTCGGTTCAGAACTACAGCCACGAACAGAAAGAACTACAAGCATGGTGGATGTGAGTGAGAGTGATAGCAGAGACGCTCTAGTTGTGTCCCAAAGTTGAGGGTGCACACTTCGAAGGCCAGGCCTCCGAAGTGCGTGAGATGCTCCGCCTTCGCACTATTTCTTACTTGCGACACCAGAGGTTCCCGATTAGCACTCTGTTGCATAGCAACGGTGAGAGAGGAGAGCGCAATCCTGCCAGGATAGGTGGAGCCAGAATTGCTCATTTTTGTTTTTATGTCTTACCTCATAATGGAGGAGACGGTGATGTACCTCAGACTTAGCCAAGACCGAGGCCAGGTAAGTTACACTGGTTTGCTGCGTCCTTTGTCGAATTACAAGTTTAAATGCAGGAATTGGCTTGGAGCTTACTTGAATAATGTAATAATGATACATATGAAAAACTACAAAATACACACACACACACACACACACACACGTAGCAGTTCAAATGCTGACTGATATCTTACAAAGGTGCGATTTTATATAGTTTATTGTCTTGAACATGGTGATCATATGTAGACAGGTTAGCAAAAATAAAACTGTGAATAAAAAAATAGAGCATTGTACAGCTCAATGTTCAGCGGTGGCTCTGTTTGACGGTCCGAGTCCTTCAGATGCAGCCTTTGATATAGTTAGCAAAAATTTGTTAATATTCTGACAAAATGTTGATACTTTAATTTTCAAAATAATCAGAGGTGGACTGTTAGGAAGTACATTCGTTAAATATACTCGAACAAATATGATTTTTCCTCACAGGACAGCAGCACTACAAAAATATGGTCTTTTACAACATGATGCATTGTTGTAGATTAAACTACCCAACAGTATATGAAGTAGGCAACTTTAAATTTAATAACCATGAACATATTCAGAAGTAAAATGCAACATACACATCAGTGCAGCAGTAATATTAATCCTGACGAATTATTTTTTCAGAATACTGTATACCTTTACTTTTACTCTCAATACCTTAAGTATATTAGACTATGCAAGAGAGTAGGCTTCTTTTACTTAAAGGATAGTTCAGCCAAAAATGAAAATTCTGTAATCATTTACTCACCGTCAAGTTATTCCAGGTTTGGAATTTTCGTTTTTGGCTGAACTATCCCTTTAGCTAAGGTTATAAATATGACTAGTAGTTTTCCCCCAATATGGTATTAGTAGTTACTAAAAGTAGTTTACTAAAGTACCTCAATATTTCTTCTACTAATTACTTTGTCATAGCTCTAAACAATTTATCTTTTCCTTTTTTCCCTACGAGTGGTCTCCAGAGTGTTTGACATGCCTCGTTCCTCTGTCACCGCATTGTCCTCCGAGTCGCTGAGGAGGTGCTGGCCATTCACCAAGAGATTCACCTCCTGAAGACCCCAGAACACATGGAGGCAGGGCTGGGCTCAAAATTTATGTTGTTTTTCTTATGTTAAACCTAAGCCATGTTGTAAATAGTATGTTGTAAAAAGTACTTTCAGTAATGTATAGAACCATTTGTTTTAATGTGTTAAAAAAAAATTTATTTACAGGACAAAAAAATAAACATATAGAAGAATGTTTTGTGAAAAAATTATAAGCTGCATTAAAAGAATTAACAATGTACATAATTACTTCTCTTTTATTTACACATGTGAATATGCAAAACAAAAATAAAAAATGTACAGAAAGTACTCAGGCTCATTTACAAATAAATTACACTACAAAAATTAATAATGTATACAACTTATTCGTTTTATTTGTAACTTTTTTTTAAACTAAACTACAGAAATTAGGCTGTTTCATTGACAATGTGACATTTAAAAAAAGATATTGAAAAATGAGGACATGCAAACGAAATACTGAAGTGCTAAAGTTTGGATAAAAAATTTGTAGACATATCTTGAATGACAGCACTACAAAAACACAACAAAGGGAAAGACTATTGCCTTATATAGTGGTTGTTCTATTTGTGGGCTTTGTGTTAAAAAAAAACCCTGACTTAACACTTTCGCTAGGTATTTGAGTAAATGAAAACACAATACTTACATTTCAATGTGAATTCCCCCACAGAACTCTCACCCACCCTGTTCTTCTTCTTCTTTTGATGTTTTATGGCGGTTTCCAAACCCCGCCCTGTTCTTTGAATATAAACACAGTTGTCATCTGCGCTCAAGGGATTCTGGGATATGGTAGGGTGCGAAGTGTCCATCAGATGTACACTTAATTTTCCTGCGAAATAGAGGGTGCATTTGAAGTCGCTTTCGAAATATGTCAGCCTTCGTTGCGCCACGGTGATGCAATCGGCCTTGGAATGCGGTCTTCGGAGGGTGCATTAGAAAATATGACACAGCAGGACATGCATACAAAATACTGACATTTGGTTAAAATATTTGTAGACATATCTTGCATGACAGCACTACAAAAACACAACAAAGGGAAAGACTATTGCCTTATATAGTGGTTGTTCTATTTGTGGGCTTTGTGTTAAAAAAAAACCCTGACTTAACACTTTCGCTAGGTATTTGAGTAAATGAAAACACAATACTTACATTTCAATGTGAATTCCCCCACAGAACTCTCACCCACCCTGTTCTTCTTCTTCTTTTGATGTTTTATGGCGGTTTCCAAACCCCGCCCTGTTCTTTGAATATAAACACAGTTGTCATCTGCGCACAAGTGATTCTGGGATATGGTAGGGTGCGAAGTGTCCATCAGATGTACACTTCATTTTCCTGCTAAATGGAGAGCGCATTTGAAGTCGCTTTCGAAATAAGTCAGCCTTCGTCGCGCCGCGGTGACGCAATCGGCCTTGGAATGCGGTCTTTGGAGGGCGCATTCTGAATTGGGACAGCTTACGTCGTGACGCTGAGACGCAATCGCACTTCAAATGCGCACTTCGGAGTCCACACACTTCAGTTTGGGACAACCTTCATCGCGCCGCTGTGACGCAATCACACTTCAAATGCACACTCTGGAGTCCACGCACTTCAGTTTGGGACACAGCTAGTGAAAGCAGTTAAATCCTCTGTTTATTCAGCTGCAGCCATAGGCATTTCCTGGAATTCTTCTTCAGGGCATATTTGGAGTTTCATTTACTACTGATCACAGAACCGTGCTTCTCTGAAAGATACGCATGCAATCACAGCTTCTGCCTAATCGCGATTTATCACCTTTGCAATTTAATTTCGATTAATTGTGCAGCCCTAGTTTGCACAACTTTTTTTGTACAAGTTCAAGTTCAAAATACCTGTAGTAGCACAGCAGTGCATACCTGTTTACATTTAATTAAGGTGGACTAGATTAGACTGTAATACAAAATTGAGTATGGCAGGTGCATACAACATTTATGACGTTTTCATGAAAGTGTTTGTCAGTTTGTCTGCTTGACAATCCCATTTTGCACTGCAGCAATAAAACTGAAGTGAGATAAACAAACTGAGAAATGTTTCTTTTTAGTTAAAACAGATGTTGCCAAAGTATTCATTTGGGGACATAATTTGAAGTTGGAAAAAGGTAATAAATTACAATATATCGTAGAATATCGCAATATATTTAAAATCACAATAATATTGTATCGTGACACAAGTACCGTGATAATATCGTATCGTTAGGCCTCTGGTGATTCCCACCCCTAAGCACAGTGAGTAAAAGATGCGAGGTGTGTGCTCAAACTCGTGCTTCTCCTTTTCCCATCACATACCAGATCAGAAAGGTATTTATTTTCAATAAAAATAAAGTAAATATTTGAAAAGTGGAAATAAAACGCCTCATTAATAATACAGTGTTATTAGGTATGCTTAGCTGTAGGTGTAGGGAGGTTTTTGTCCCAATAAATTAGCATGGCATTCATCTAATAAAATTTATATATATGATAATTTACACTCAATATGTTATTGCATGCTGTTTTATTATGTACTACAGTACTGACGTATAAATATCTGCCACCTAACTATATTTACACACCTGTTGCTAAAGAAAATGCTGATATTTTTGTGTAAACAGAATTTATCATTATTTGCACTTACTGTAACTAGAATATATCGCTTTTCCCACTGCCAAAAATATAATTGTTCAGTTAAACCACAAAAGCACTTGCTATTAATGTATTCCCTCTGTATCCATTTCTCCAGTTTCACTTCTGCCCGATCTTACTTGTGAAACCTGCCATGACAGTACTGTGGGATTTGTTGTTCTTGTCTAAAGAAAAATTGCTTGTCATGTTTTTTCATTTGTAAGGAATTTGCAAAAAGCCTGAAGATTAATGCAGTAACTATATTTAACACTGATAAGATCTATAACAATGATGAAAGCACACAATGAAAACAATGTGACTTGAAATGCCATTCAAACAAAATAACTCATTGTGATTGCAATGTATAGCGATGGGTGCCGTCTCATATCAATGTAGCCTTTCAGAAAATTGCCTAAGAAACTTTAAAGAATGTGCCATGAGAAAGGTACTTTTCGTAATTCTAGAAGGTGTGAGCTCCATTAGTTTGTGAGATTCACACAACTCAATACTAACATATTACATTTCAATAATAACACATCATTTTAGTCACTGTGTGCACAGCATAGATTAGCACTTCATTTTACATATGAATGACGTGCTCTTCTCTTCCCTATTGATATTTGAACTAATGCAGTAGGTTACACTGTCCTGCAAAGTTCAGCTTCAACCAGTTCTAAAACAGTTGCCTGAAAGTTTCTAAATCTGAAAACCTTGATTAGATTCTTCAGTTGTGTTTAATTAGGGTTGATGCTAAACTCTGCAGGACAGGCCCTCCAAGAACAGGTTTGGACAGCCCTGAACTAATGTAAATGAAGTTAAATGCCGCCCCCTACAGTACACAGCAGTGTGTGCTGTAACTGTTATATGAATATTGATGTTAGATCATTTGTGAAAAGTATCTGCTGCAACATTTTTTTTTTGTGATGAGCCACATAAGGGACTAATAAATTCACAGTGGAGAGAACAACACAGAGAAAATATTAGAGTTCATCTTTGAATAAAGGACTTCCTGTTTTGTTCACCGAATGGCAATAAAAGGAAGATTTATGTTTATTATTTTCTAACTCCACTGAACACCGTTGGCTTAATAGTCACCATCTAAAAGCTTAATTTAAAAACAAAAACATCAGAGGATGCATGCTTCAGCATGTAACACATGCAGGAATCATTTCTCAATCCCATCACCCTCTTTCTCAATAAAAGAAATGCATACATATCAAAAAACATATCAAAATCACAAACAATGTTAATTTGAGAGCCTCAGTATTTATTAAGTATTACTTTGTAAAAAAGATTACGGATTCTTTTTTTAAAAATACTGTAGGTTTACTGGGAATGTGTTTTATAAAGCCTGTATAGCCTAATAATAATGTAGTGCATTTAAAAAGTACATTAAGTGCATTTTGTATAAGAGCTCAATCAACATTCTTGCAATGATATTTATTATTGCAAGGTTATTCGTGAACGCAACAGGATTTGTCATTTAAAAGAGCATGTGTAAGCAGTAGAATGTGCATCTAGAAGTGTTTTTTGAAGAAAAAAGCTGCTAGGGTAGTCTGAAAAGTTGCTAAATCTAGTTGGCAACACTGCTCGCTTCAAGCAGTTTCAAATGTCTCTCCTCTCCTCTTTGATAGACATAGAATTCTAAGTTGTTGATTTTTTTATTATTATTTTTACAAATATTTTCATAACCCTGCACGCTACCTTTTTTATTTAAAAGTATGTTTTTTTTTACCATTATGCCTTTAAACTTAAACTCTTCAAATGTGAAATGAGTAACAGCATTTTGCTGTTCACACATGAGCAGCGTGTTTGCTGTTGTGACATGTAGTTTATACATGTTTGTGGAGTGAAAGCAACAGCTGAATACTTTTTTTCATTGGTATTAGATGGGAGGTCAGTATAAAAAAATAAATAAATAAATAAATAAAGGCACTGAATACAAAAAAGGCTATAATTATTACACTGTACTGTACGTAGCTCCACTTTAGGTTTTCTGTTTCCTGCTCCAAAGAAAAAAACATATAATAAAAAACATATAATTATTTTAATAAAAATAAAAAGAATACAAATATTAACATTCATTTTATTTATTTAGTTATTTTCCCCCAGACGCAGTTGTCTATTTAGGTTTAATTTTTATTTCGGTAAGATTTCTGTCCTGATCACCAATACAAAGAAACAATAATGAATGACCACAAGGAGGCAGAATCAGTTTTAAATATTTAACCGATCGAAAGCCTTCAGCAGAAACACTTTGAGGTGAGTCACCATGCATAGCCACGCGTTGCCAAAATGTTTGAAATGAACAGAAATCAACGAAAAATATGTATATATCTTAATTTCCAAAGATAAAACTGCCTTCCCTGTCGAAGACGTCTAGCACAAATGTTCGATCCCGATCCTTAAGTCAAAGTGACAAACAGATTTAGGCTACTTGTGAAATCACTCCATTAATATGATGAGGTGCATTTCAAAATACATTTTAGAGAGGTTTTAAGCAGCATTGTGTTACGATCGCGCTAATGAGGTAAAAAGTCATGCACAACTAATTTATTAATAAACTTATTTATTAAGTGTATAAGCAGGCTTTTTAAAAAGGGCAGGCTGCCCTTAAAGGGGCAGTACACAATTCTTCCTGTTACAAGTACATAGGTTCAAATAAGTTCTATTTTCTCCAATACAAATAAAGCTTTAATAACGTAACATATGTAATAATAATATTATATATTTTTTACACCATGATCATTATGTGATATGCAGTGGTAATTTCTCAGTCTTAAGTCAGTTGAAAACTACTTGGGTCTACCCACTGCTTTCAGTTTTGTTTTTGTTATTTTAACAAACGTGAAATGGCTAAAACAGAAGAGGTTGCATTAATTGTAAGTAATGTTCAATTTACTCTTATTTACTGCATATTGATACAACTGTTTATGATAAAACTGTTTGATGAAACTATCATAGTTGGTCAAATGGAGCCCACCTAGAGGCCTTTTATGTGAAGTGAAAGTAGTTAGTTCAAGAACACGCAAAATGGTGGTGACGGGAAAGGACTTCATTACACTGCCACTTTTGATAATTATGCAGCAATAGTGTGTGAATGTGTTTTTGCCCCTGATGCCTTTTTTTGTTTGTTTTTTTAAAACCCTGCCCTTGAAGAACTTGCACATCCCTGGCAGGAATAGTAGTTTTCTAGTACAGTGGTTCCCAACCACATTACTGGTGCATGTCTCTTTTGTCTGACGCACTCATTTTAGCTTTTGGAATCTCTACCAATGAGATGAGTTGAATCAGGTGCATTGATTGGGATCCGGTTACTTGGGTCGTTTACCTGTGGACGAGATAGCAGCAGGATGCACAAAGAAGGCAAGCCAGAGGCATTTCTTGGTAGTTTATCAGGTAACAAACACATGCAAATTGGTATGCAAATCCATGTAGAGCTGTTTTTAAAAATTCACATGTATTTGGGCAGTTTGCTGTTGTGTGAGTGCAACGGAGCAGTCAAAAATGCAAAATGCTTGTTTGAAAACCACTCCAAGTACCCTTGGTTCTGGTTTTGTCATTTGTTTTATTTATTTGTTTAATTTTCTTATTAACGTTTTACTTGCTCTACTGCTTTTTTTTTAGAAGTAATGTGTACTTGATTTAAAACACTTTAAGGCTGCTATTTTTATTTATTTATTTATGAAACATTTTGGATATAATTTAACATTTAACTGCACTTCAAGCACTGAAAGTTTGTTATTGTGTTCAGTCTCTCACTGCACTATAGAGCAGTGGTTCGCAACTGCTGCATGTCCAATATATGGGTAACAGGTCTGTTTGAGAGGACTGGGCTCCTATAGGCTGCTAATGCATGCCATTTGGTCACTTTTATAATATGAGGGCTGTGTTAAGTTAATTACCTTCTAATAGGGCTAATTCAGAACATAAGGAAGTAATCCCTATAACGGCTGTTTCTTTTTATCAGGCTTTTGACTGAAGTGCAGTCATCTAGTGGAATATTAAACCAGAATATATTCCATACAGGAGGAAAATTGGCAATGTGCTGATGAAGATGCTGAAGTTTCATAATTTTATGTTATTGACTAAAATTGACCATGTCTTGCTCAGAAAGAATGAATAAGGTCCAGTAGGTTTTAGATACTTTATTAATAAAGAACAATACCTGAGTTGATCCTTGATCTCAACTGTTTTCTCAAAAGCACATACCAAAACCATCCTGCGCTTGTTAATAGTGAAAGTAGGTCATAGCTCCAAAAATAGTTTACAGGCTGTGACTGTGGGACTGTGTAACGATAAAATGTGTTAGCTGATAAAGTAAAACACATTATTTTTATTGTTTGCTTACAGTTACAGAAAGAAACACACACTGTAAAAATTAGTTTAGCAACAAAGATTATTGTAGTATGCATGACAAGAAAATACTATTTCAATCTTTATACTTCAAAATTCCATGAATTGGTGTGTTACTTGTCATTTCTTTGTAATTATTTGTGAAAGTTACTAGTAATTGTTCAGTAAAAATTATTACTACTTTTTTTTTCAGTGCAACCCAGAGAGAGGCATATTGATGATACCCAGATGTTTTTCGTACACCAGTAAACATTTTGAGATTATGCACTCCAGATAAATGCTTTTTTGGGTAAAGGCCATCTCTGATTTATCAAAAAATTATCCTATATCTTAATTAGAAATTGTAAAAACACTGATGAAAATGAACTCTGCAACATATAAAAAAATGTGACTTTAACACATGCAACAAAAAACTGAATAAGAGGAACATTTAAAATGTAAAAAAACAAAAAAAAAAACTCTTTCTGTCTGTTTTCTCTAAACACTTTAAATGAGCTTTAATTGTGAGAATATTTTAAAGCTTTATACTCTGCATCAAATCCAATATTTATAGCATAATGAGAGATATGTAACAATATATAATGATAACATAGCATAACAAGAGATGTATAATCTATTTTATTTATTTAGTGTTGTGGCGATTTTCCATTTCCATAAAGGTATGAGACAAAAAGTCTTTTGAAGATTTATTTTCTTGCAGGAAAGGTCATTCATACAGTCATTCAGGGTTGGCTGTGGATTGCGACAAAAGAAGGAACACTTTAACTCAGTATTTATACCCTAATAAAACCAGGATGCTTCTATCTCATCCAATCATAATGCATATTCAAAATATGTAAATTTAAGGTATCCAAATATGTCCCCTAGATGCGTTTTTAATAAGGGTGTACTCACACTAGGCGTTTTGAGCCCCAAAGCCCGGTTCGTTTGACTAGTGTGATCGTTCCGGGCGCGGCTCGTTTGCCCTCCCCGGAATAGGTGGTCCAGAGCACGGTTCAGTTGGGCTCGGGTGCGGTAGGCATGTAATGTGACCGCTAACCGCGCCTATAGATTTCCTCTTTCCTGTTATCTCTCATCTCATCAAATAGCATACCGATGAGGCATTTAGAGAAGAAAAGAACACACTTTGGTACAATAAAGCTAATAATAATAATAATACAATTTCAGATAAAAATTAAATTTCCTCCACAGTTATTTGTAGGTCGGTCATTTTTGACCGGGATCACCACAAGTGTGACTTTCAATTTTGTACTAAATAAAAATCTGTTTAAATAGGCATATTTGTGAAATAATTACTGTATAATCTATTTTATCACAATTACAAAACTATTATAATATCTCAAATAGGCCACTAAAATAAGTCAAATGTGTTTTTGCATAATTCTTGATTGCTGTGTTTAGGCAGGTGTTATACAAGCTGTCTCAGGCATAACGCACCTGTGAATTCGTGTGTGTTCACCCATTCAGTTAGCCTATAATTTGCATTTGTGTGTTAGAAAATGTTAGACAAACAGCAGCAATGCATAATCCTGGAAAAAGGACTCGCACTGACGAGGGAAAGAACCCCTCCATCGGCCCGCAAGTAACGGTGAGACTTTTCAGTTCCGAGCGCAGGCTGATCCGGTGTAGTGCCGATATTTGCACCCTGCCAGATTATGCACCCCCTAGTATTGGTAGGGTTAGGTGTGGGGTTGGGATTAAGCAATCAAGTAGCGACTTCAACGAGGGGGTGCATAATCTGGCAGGGGTGCAGAATTCGGCACAACACCGGTTCATTCTGTAAAGCCGGGATTACACTACTGTCAGGCCGATTATGAATGTAATTTGGGCTCAGTCAGTGTTTTCAGTCGTTTAGTGTGTGGTGTATAAATAATTTAAAACCAGCTGTTGCCAATCGTCCTCACAAAGATTATTTTTATAGGCTAATATTTGCAACTGACGCAGGCGACTAACTGCACCTAATAGCCTGTAGGCCTGTTAATTTAAATAACGAATTGACAAATAAAAAATCACAAGCATGACATTTTTGAATACTATTTATTTTATACACCTTAATTATTTTTAATATATTTGAGGAAATATGATGAGGAAATACAGTGCCTTGAATAGGCTATCTTTGTACATTTACTAGAATGATGAAATGAAAATTAAAATATACAGATAAATGACTCCTGTTTCGGAATTTTTTAAAAACCTTACTCAGGTTTTGTATGTGGACAGGTTGTAGTTACAGATCTCTTGTATGGTATGACTTGAGTGACTGTTGATACACAAGTTCACGTCTGAGTTTTGTATTCATATTAGTTGAACAGACGTGCATTAGTGACCTGGCGTGAGAGATTCTTTCTACACAGCTTCTAACTTTATAGTTCGAGTAGCGTGTTGTAATCTGCAGCAGTATTTAGGGATTGGGGCTATTGTGAATGATTTTCATATTTTGGCAATGGGTACGTTGGTGACTGTGACGGAGTGGTAGTTTTATTATGCGTGTCTTCCACTGTGTTACGGTTTAGTTTTCAATAGGATCAAAGAAAAGAAGATTGAAATGACCTGAATATTAAGTCCCACTCCGTCCGTTAGTTTCTAGTGCCCGCTCATTTTCCCCCAGGCCCTCCCAAACATTAAATTCTGCCTACCCCATGTATTTATTTATTTTATTATTATTATTATTATTATTATTATTATTTATTTTATTTTATTTTTTTGGAAAGGAACTTAAATCCTACCTTGGACACTCCTCTTACATCCAGCAACTCTAAAGCCAAATCTCACTGTGTCATAATAACATTTTCCTGAATTTTACTTACGCCTGGCATTGGCTTTGTATGTTCTTAGCTATAACATACATGCATATAGCCTATATGTACATAGCCTACATATATGTACAACATATACATTCAATATAAATAAATAATCTTACTTTTTTGTCTCTATGGTGCATTGTTATGAAGGTATTTTTGGGGCAAAACAACTGAGCGCCTGTGACAGCTGAACACGTGTATCAGTCAATTTGAATCTGCTGCTACGAGTCTCAAACGCTGTTTTTCGCGCAATCTCCCTTTTTGCACCACATAGGCTATATGGAGCAAACGTTATTCGTGCATCATACTTCATACATTAATTGTGCCCACTATATCCTTTTGAGAGAAAAAATTATCAGGAATGTTTATACTCCTGTTCATGCGTATGAAAACATTAAGATTTTAAACATTTCGATTTGTGATTTAATTCTAAGGCCATTCTGAAAAATATTTAGCCTACCAGAATAATCACAACATAAACTTTATTATGTCACCATACATTTAGGCAACGATATCAGACAGCATACTTTTAAAGACTCTCAATGTAAAAAAAAGAAGAAGCACGTAACAAAAATAGGCTATCTAATGCCATTTGGCTCATTTACTTATCTGATACATCAGGCAAGTCTATAGCTGTAGCCTCAATAAATCAAACAACACACTTTAATAGGCCACATTACTGTCCATCAAGGTTTTATTTGACGCTGATTTCGACCCGTAGTTAGCTGTCCAAAATAGTTTGTGATACGGGAGCTTACACCATGTTTAGTATTAGTCGCTTCAACATAACAAAAGGAATCTCCGCCTCGTGCCGACGAATATTTCAGAACACCGTTTTAATGACAGCTGCTATCGGCCATGCTGCAGGTGGTGCATTTGCGCGCCGCTATTAACTCTCGCTTTCGTTTTTACAAAGTCACGGAAAGATGGGACATGTGTACAGTTGAAACACTTTAAATAACTTGAGTGCACAGGAACCCCGAGCCGTGATTTTTGCTCCACACACATTAGCGTTGATCGTGGGTCTTTCCACTCCGAAGATATCGGCGAAAGTTTTTCTTTTCCAAGGTAAGATTTTCATTCCACCATGTCCCTTCCATAATGCATAGCTTGTTATCCTTTTATGATTGTTAAACTTAAGGTATATCATTGCGAACATTACGCTGTGCTCTAAAAATATACATATTTTATGACATCGTGCCATGCAAGGTCGCTTATGGAATTTCCCTATAATGTTAGAAATAGCCTATCTCTCTGTGTGTGTGTGTGTGTGTGTGTGTTTGCGTGTGTGTGTGTTTTAGGCAATAGTCAGTGAGTGGAATTTTTCTTTTTACTTTTTTTTTTTTAGTTTACTATTTACATTTGTACTGTTTGTCCTATCTTTTCCAGTGTTAAATATTTTGTTGCTATTTTGTTTAACTGAATCTGAATTAAATAAAGCGAATAAATAAATCTGAATTAAAAAAAATGCACAACTGTAATTTATTAAATTAGCAATAAATGGTTAGCCAGTTTAGAGCATTAAGAATGGGTGTCTCAAATGTACCACGGTACTGTTTATAATATAAATCCAATTTTATAGCTGAAATAGTTTCATAGCCATAGTTGCCAAGTCCGCGTATTATACGCGACTTTGGGCTTCTTTTTTTGTTAAATTGCGTGAAAAAATCCCTGGTCGCGGGTTGCGGTTTTTTTGGGCTTATTTTAAAAAATATGGTTGCTTGTTAGGGAAATCTGACAAGCAACTTCGTTTCTTTATTTATGTTCGCCATATTCTCCAATGCATTGGTTGACACTCTGTCTGCTCACAGTTAATAGCCAACCAGTGCAATAATATAAATGCTGCAGCTTAATTTGCCAAATGTCCCGCCCCCTCCTCCCCCTCATTGGAGAAAATCACGTTCAAAAAGAAGGCGCGTGACGCTGTAATCCAAGCGATGACAGAAGTAGACGTAGAGGAGTGGGATGACTTTCTTTTAGCCTAATTTTTTAATTTTTGCAATGTTTTTGTAATGTATTAATTATCATGGGCTGTAATAAAAAATCAAGTAGGCCTATATTACTAAGAGTATATTTGGTTCGAATAGCCAATATTTTAGTAGGCTATAAATATGTGACTATGTTACAGCTCCCCTTTGAAGCTCTTGTGTTTTTCTCCTTTTCCATCTCTCCAATCCTATTCTGCTCACAGGTGATTGGAGATGAGTTTTTTGTTCTCACTTTGTTGTAGTTGGCTGATTTTTGTAAAATAACATATCTGATTTTGCTTTTCAGATAAAAGAGTGGTTTCAGTTTAATATGTTGCAGGTTCATTTATTGGTAATAAATAATTGATAAATAATATTGATGATAATAAAAAAATAAAAAATATATATTGGGCTTGTTTTGTAAGCTGCGGTTGCTTATTTATCTTGCGAGGGTTGGCAACAGTGAAAGCCGCGCA